TGAAATTTGCCATAAGTCGTGAGACCCTTTTGCAATTGGAAGACCATTCTTCATGAGCCTCATCGGTCATGATTCCCTTAGCAAAGAAGCTTGGAATGGGAGTATCAAGGGTATACTCCAAGGAACAATTTCGGAGAGTTCTCCTGAGTTCCTCCTCCCATTCCTTGAAGTTAACCAAGTTTAAGAAAAAAGCCAACTTCTCGGGGAGTTCCGGGCACATATGGTTGTTGTTGAGTTACTAGCAGACATTGTTATACAATTGAAAGAATTTGAAGTGAAAAACCATTCATACATCAATAAGTTGAAATTTAAAACGTTCATGCATATATTCAATCTTATTGAGCATTATATCCACGCATTTAAAGTTTTCCCTTATGGGCGAGAATAAAATGATTCCAAGATCCTAAAGATCAAGAAATGGTTAAGCATGCTTTGGCTTGTCTTAATCATTAAATATCTTAAGGTAAGCAATCCAATTGCTATTAGCTCCAAGCTACTCTCGGTTTGATAAAATGTCGAATCTAATGCATCCTTGACATTTTATCTCTTTTGCCACGACATCTAAGGACTCCTTACTGATATCGTTGAGCTTACGTTCCTAGGGAAGTAGTGATGCCTCGCTTTGGCGTAATCCATCACGTACGCGCATTAGTTCGGTAAGTGTTGTTCTTGGGACGGCAAATTTTAGCTCAATATTATTAAGGGACCTAGGGTTTCTATGTTGGTTGATTTAAGTGAACTTAACTAATCGTAGCAACATAATAGAATTCCTAGACATGCATCTAGCAATTATATATAACAACAATATATAAGGCATAAAATAGATGCATTTGGAAACTAGCATGACCCCCGTACTTGATTAATCCAATTAATTAAGTCGGCATAACCCATAATTTGTCAAAATTTTGCAAAATCGAAAATCGAGGTTTTCAGCCTCGTTAAAATAATTATTTAAAACATTAAAATGGCCAAAAATTCGCAAAATCATAGCTCAAGCTTAAGCAACAACGCCCCATCCTATGATGCATGGCGCACCATGGCTGCCAGCCAGTAGTGTGCTGGCTGGCTGGGGCTTGCTGCCTCGCTGCCCAGCAGCAGCACAAGCCCGCCAGCAACTCAGGCTTCCCATGCACCAGCATCATTGAATGGGCTGGCTGGCGCTTGGAGCTAACATGTTGCGCCCAGCACAGCACACTACGCTGGCTAGCACCACGCATACCTGCACGCATGCTGGCGCCAGGCAGCAAGTGGGGGCTAGCTGGTGCTTGCTACCACGCTGCCAGCAGCGCCTCCAAGCACCTAGCCAAGGCCACTGCCCAAGCCCAGCCATAGCATCCATCGCCACACTGCCATGCACCAACGATGCACAGCCATATGCGCTGTCTTGGTGACGCTTGCGGTTTTGCATCGATTTGCGTGCATTTTACTCGAAATTTTAATTCCGATTTGTGTGTGACAATAATCAATTCTAAATTACATTTTAGAGTTAATTTGAGGGAAAATAAAATAAAATTAAGTCCTACTTAAATAAAATATATTTTATTGGTGCACAAGCCTAAATTATCCAAAATTTCAATTTTGAACAAAATTAGGTCTAACTTTATGCTTAAAATAAAATGAGCTATGTCCAAAATTAATCTTGCCAATATGCAAATTAATAATGGATTTGACAAATGGGAGTTGGAAAAATAAATTAACCATCCAATGATAAAAAATTTCCAACTTGCATACTTGTGTAAAATACCAAGATTACATCTTCCAATATGAAGATTAATCAAATTTTACTCACAAGTAATTGAACTTGATGGATTTTAATCAATCAAACATGAAAAAATCCAAACTTTGTTCAACATGAAATTTAGGGTTAGGGTTCCAATCATTTAAACCTTTAAAGATTAGAACTTTAACATTATTTAGGAACTTAAAATACAAAATCACAACAAGTTTTCACACTTTATTGCAATATATTTGCAAAATTTGTGAAAAAACAATTTTATGTGAAAAAATTGGTATATCAACTTAAGCACTAATAAAAACTCCATTATTATGCTTAAGGATATTTTAAAACCAGTAGATAAGTGATGCAAATGTGCATTTAATCTAACTTTGTAATGCTTGCATTAATCAAGGCTTAAAAAGAATCAAAATTTTCGTTGAAAAACGAAAAACCCCAGAAAATTGGGTTTCTGGTTCGAATTTGGCTTCTGGACAGCCCTGAAAGAGTTGAATCTGTTCCAGAATATCGATTCCACCCAAAGATCACTATTTTTGAGCCAAAATCTGGGTTCGACAGCCAAATCGAAAATAAAATAGAGTTTAAAATTAATTAAAACGAGCATCTAATCTAATTAGAAGAACATGAACCAGAAAATTAAATTCTTTTAAAACACCTGAATTAAAAAATAATTGCAAAAATGAGAAGGAGCGTGGCTCCGATACCGCTGTAGGATTTCGTAGTGACCCAACACTACGCGGAAGGAAACCCACCAAGACCCGCCCCTTAATTAAAACAATTAACAAGCATATTAAACTTAATCAAACAAGATTAGGAACAAGGATTATACCTTTGACGCGTGCTTCGCTCCCAAAGAGCTCTTACTTCAAAATCCCGAAAACATGAGATCTCCAACAGATCGTACCCTCGACCCTACCCGAGCGTCCTAAGTATTGAAGGTGACAAAATAACTATGAGTTTTACGAATCAAAGGTTTACTCTTTCTTAGAGTTGCCTTTTTAATTCCACTCAAAGTTGTATTCTCAAAATCCCAACCAAGTGGGTATTGATAGAGAATAGGGACTTGGAACCCCTTTTCATGATCAATGTCGGCTCATGTGCAATTGCAATAATTTATTTAATTCCAAAATAAATAATTAGGCAAAAGCAATCACAAGGCAACAAGTGGCAAGAGGAGAGAATGGGTTAGGTGAGGACCATATCCCATGGGGGGGACCATTGCCTTGCTCCCCAAGGGAAGCTTGGAGGCTTTGGTCCTCACCTCTCCTAAACAGCCATTCAAAATGCAGCTGGCTTGGCTTCCACCTAGCACGCCTGGCTGGCACAACATGCATCACCCAGCCAGTGCTGCTAGTGAGCCACGCCTTGTGCTGGGCGTTGGGCACTGCTGCCTTGCTATCGCAGGCACACGCACATGCATGCGTGGTGCTGCTGCCTGGCTATCGCACACACACATGCAAGGCTCTCGCATAGCCAGCACACCCAGCCAGCATACGCATAGCCCAGCCAGCGAGCACCACTCGTCCATGCTCGCACACCTCTGCACATCCAGCCCAGCACGCACTAGCGCTGTGCTTGGTGCGTGGCCTGCGATAGTGCCTAGCACACACGCAAGGCCAGTGCTACCTGCCAGCTAGCTGTGCTTGGTGTGTGGCCTGCGATGGTGCCTAGCACACACGCAAGGCCAGTGCTGCCTGCCAGCTAGCTATGCTTGGTGCATGGCCTGCGATGGTGCCTAGCACACACGCAAGGCCAATACTGCCTGCCAGCTTACTGCGCTATGGTGCATACGCACACGCACACACACACACGCATGTGCCTAGCACTGCGATGGTGCTGTGCGTGGTGCTAGGGGGCTGCGATAGTGCCCACGCTTATGCACACACACATGGGTGTTGTGCTTGGTGCGATAGGGCTGCGATGGTGCCTAGCATCATGCTAGGGCTGCGATAGCGCCTAGGCATGATGCTAGGGTTGCGATAGTGCCTAGCACACCATGGTGCGCTTAGCACACACATGCTGCGCCTAGGCTTGCGATGAGCTAGCCTAGCCTAGCTACGGCTACGCTCATACTTGTTGCTTGTGAGTTTGCGACGCTCGGTCTCGACGCCCTAGGCTCGATATCCGACGTTTGTATTCGTAAAACTCTGCTGACTCATTAAATCCTTTCGGATTAATTCGTCATCTTGGATCGGTGATTCGATTGGGTTCGACCCGAAGGGTTCAGTTAAGATTAAGCTGTAACATCAATTGTACATTGATATTACTGATCGGAAGCGGCCTCCACCTAGGCATTCCGATCACTTGACCTTACTAAAGAATTAGCTCCGTAATAATTATGAACCCTCTATCGGAAGAATACACTTGTTGGAAGGACACCATTCCTTTCAGAAACAACATATTGTAATTTTTAATTAGACACATGCACACTCGTTCGGCATTCAAAATAAAGAGTCAAATGCATAGACATAAGAATTCAAATATTAAACAAAAAATATATATATAAAAATAATAGTAATAATAAATAAATAAAAAAAAAGGAAGCAGACATCAAGACAATATAGACCGGTGGCTATTTATTGTTGTTGATGATGAGTATAATACTACAATTTATAGCACAATGTACACCTAAATAAACTAGCTAGTAGAAAGCTTACAGGACAAAGAACAGATATCAAACCGAGCAATTTACTCAATTAGCCAAGGTAACCACCTCAACCCCAAGGTGGTAGCCAGTGCCATAGAGCTTTATTATCCACAAATGCCATTATTAACGGCAATATTTATTAATGTTGTTGTGGATCTCATACGTACGTCGAGAAATCTAGAAGAAAATCTTTCTAGTCTTCTTAAACTATTCTATGGACAATTCGGACCACTTTGAGCTTTTTATTAACAATTGTGATATGAAAATTAGTCAATAAATAAATGTTGAGTGGATTCATTAGGAAAGTTGATAAAATTCAATTACACATATATACCTTAGGGAATTAATCCAGTGGCAATCAATAATGATTACCATGAACAATATATATCAAGAGAAGCACCCAGATTTTTGTAGTTCGAATTTTCGAAATTGAATACTACTTGAACTCCCCTTTAATGCTAAATAAAATTGACCACCTACCTACTTATCCCATGCTATAAGCGACATTAAGAAACATACACTTCAAATAATACAATCAACTTGGTTTCAGAAAACAGAAAAACGCCATGAAACCCATTGAAAATGATAGATGAACTAAATTGCTAGGATAACACTTACCATCACTGGGATTTGTTGACCCATAGGCAAAATGCAGCAGAGAAACGAACACGAAAACAAAGGAAACTTCAGCCCAGATCTTTACACCTGGCAGTTCATCAATACGTATCTTCCAACCCATTCATCAAATGCTCAACCTCATTGATAATCCACTTTATCCCTCAAATCTACAAATCTAACTAAAATGCAGCAACAACTTTTAATCTGTAAATTCAAGGTAACACAATAAGCATAAAAACACTGCCTCAACTGTAATAATTTCAGCAAATTAAATTCTAACTTTAACCTGATAAAGCATCAAATTAATACACCTAAATTTATCAGTAAATCATCAAATTTAACAACCCCACAAAATTAATTTAGTAATTCTCTTATATTTTCAAATTGACACACTCCAAAAATTGGTACAGAAAATACAGATCAAACCATATAATACAAATAATCAAAATAAACCAACCCACCTTCAAAAATTCAAAAGGCAAAAAACACACCATTATAAAAAAAAATCAAAAAAATAATCAGAAAGACAAACAACAACCAAGATAATCTGGAGAGAGAAAATAAAAAAATAAAAAAACTAGAGAGAGAAAGCAAATCAAGTGGGCAAACCAAGTAAATATCACTGATAAAACTGCAGATGCTCAACTACCCAGAGAATGTTTTAGTATGTTGTTTTCCTTGTATAACTGTAATAGCTGAAAGCTATGAAATGAATGCATCAATGAAGAGAGAGAAAGTAAGAGAGAGAAAAAACGGCATAATGAAAGAGAAAGCTTAATTGATAGCTTGAAAAGAGCTGGAAAGAAAGTAAAACGGTTAGAAAGTTAGTGAGAGAAAGAGTGAAAGGTGAGGATTTAGAGTGAAAAACAAACAAACAGACTTAATAAATTATTCAACATTAATCGACTGCTTAATAGAGCCAAAACTATGCTCAAGCATAGCATGTAATATACTACTGTAACTGCTATCAAGAGATCCAAGGGGTAAGTTGCTCATAATTTTGACTCACCAGATGAGTTAATCCGCTAATCTTTCAGGGGATCCCTGGGTTTCAAAATCTTGATTTGCCAAAAATTCAGCTAGCCCTTCAACCTGCACCCATTGAACAAATTAGATTCAATTAAGCCTGTTCAATTAAAATTATTTGCTTATTGAATTGCAATAAAAATCCATTCCACAAATTTAATTTAACTTTGATTAGATATTAACTTCATTTCTAGCAAGCTGAACAATCCAATATCAACTTATTACCTATAATAGCTCTGATTCTAATTATAATGATATATTTTGATTCATACACTAACAATATACAAAGAGAAGTCATCGTATAATTAAAAACCTAAATTTAAAAATTAGTCTTTCTGCATTCATTAGGTTAAGAATAAAATGTATGCAACTCACTAGAACATCAAACATTAGAATTCATTTGATTCAAACTATAAATAAAACTGACAATTTAATAAACAGTTTAAAACAAGACTCTAGCCAGCATATTCAAATCAGATTTCATGTTACCAAACACCAAAAATAAGAAAAATTAACACATTCATAAGCACAAACAAAGAGCCCCAGTAATCACTGAACTTAAATAAAATAACTAGTTGAATAGATCTCTAATTCAAATCGGTCACAAAACTAATTCAATAAAAAAAAAAACCGAAAAACTGATCACGACAGATCATCATATATCTAAAGAGAATAAGTAATTCTACCAACTATTTTCACAAAGAAACACATAATTATCAAAGTAACACTAGAAAAACATAAAATTAACAAGAATTACAAACACCCAGATCAATCATTTCCATCAATCAGCTTCAAGATTATCAAAAATGATATGAATAACAAATAAAATGATATGAATGCTTCAGAAATTGGCCGATAAAAAATGAAATGAAAACCCAAATAAGAGTAATAAACCCTAATATCTTACTAAACGATAGAAATTGATCGAAATTACAGAAATTAAAAAATCGTGAAGTACTTTAATTAGGAGAGTAACATAGAGTGAAAGATCGAGCAAGATGAAGAAACCACAAGAAAGAAGAAGTGTAGCCTGCTGATATTAGTTTGCCTCTATGAGTTCAACATCATCAATTTAATCACCACCAACTCCAGCCTCCAATTATTGCAGAATCAATGTAATTCGAAACCCTAGAAATTAGAGAAAGGTGATTGGATATGAGATTGAGATTTAGAGGTATAACAAGGGCGATAAACCCTAATGATAGGGTAAAAGGAGGCTAGATGAGAGAGCACGAAAAGAAAAGGGGAGAGAGAATCTGTGAGCGGCGGTGGTTGCGGCTGCGGCTGAAGGTTTTGTTGAGGAGAGATAGGAGAGCATATGAGGAGAGAGAAAAGAGAGAATGGAATGGAAAAAGAACGGGAAAGAGAATGAAGAAGGGCAGGCCGATTTTTTTTTGTAATTTCACACCGGTTTGAACCGGTGCTAAATCGCTATTTTGCACCGGATTGGTCTGAACCGGTGCGAAATCCCCTTCTCCCCCTTTTTCTCCCTGTTTTTTAATTAGGAACCGGTGCGAAAAGTCTTTATCCCAATTCCTCCTATTTCTTTTCCCACCGGTTTTCAAGAACCGGTGCAAAAAGTGCGATGCCTATTTGATTTTTTCTACCAGTGAACTCACTTTCAAGCGGAGTGTGAAGACCTACTTAAAAAGTATGGAATTCAACATTACCACTCCTCTCTATATAGACCTCATGCAAATGGTGTAGTGGGAACAGCTAATAAGAACTTAAAGACAATCATCAAGAAGATGGTAGAAAATTACAAGGATTGGCCTAACAAACTCCATTTCGCTCTTTGGGGTTATTGGACGTCAATTCGCTCATCCACATGGACTAAGCCATTCCCCCTAGTATATGGGATGGACGTCATATAACCTGCAGAGCTAGAAATACCTTCCTTGCGCATAGCATTGGAAAGTAAGTTTGATGAGGTTAAATAGACAAGGGCACGATATGAAGAGCTAATTCTACGCGACGAAAAACGACTAGAAGCATTATATCATGCCCAATGTTATCAAACTTGCATGGCTAGACACTTTAACAAGAAGGTTAAGACGAAAAACATCAGGGAAGGTGACTTGGTGTTAAAAGAACTTAGAAAGAATGTTTTAGTTCCAAGAGGCAAGTTTAGGCCTAACTGGGTTGGACTATACATTGTGAGGAAAATCCTATCTAGAGGCGCAGCTAAACTAACAGATATGGATGGTAACGAATTCTCGAACATGACAAATCTTTACCAACTCAAGAAATTCTACCCATGATCTATTTCAGTTCTACACTAAAGAGAGCTACATTTGGCCTAATTCCTAAATAAGGATACATAGGCAACCCTTTTACAGGGGTGCATCCAGTTTATTTTTTTCAAAAACTGCCTTTTTAAGAGAACACAATAACTCAGCATCACGAAAATCGAGCATCACAACAAAGCATGCTCTATCGCGCTGCATCAGCACTATCGCACCGCGATAAAAATCGAATTTTTTTGTTTCAAAGCTACAATTAATTACGACAGTTTCAGATCAATCGGAAGATTTTTCGACTTCCGTACTCAAATTTTTTTCGAAATTACTCAAGTTGTTTTCAATGCTTAAAATTATTTTTTCAATAATAAAGGAATATTAAAAACAACAAAGTTAATTTAATTGAAAGCTAAAAGTTGCATTAATAATTGAAATAAAATTCAAATTACATTATTGATTATATAAAAGCTTGAAAATAAATTTAACTTCAAATTAAAAAATTATCTAATTAAAAGGAAAGCAATGCTCTAATTTTTCTTCCCCTTCCTAGCCTTTTTCCAATTCTTGTCTGAGTCTTCCTCATCCTCTAGCTCCTTTACCAAAAGGGAACCTTTAGATGATCGAACTGAGACTTTAGAAGAGGAAGTTTCCCCCTTAGAAAAGACACCCACATTCTTCTCAACCCAAGTCTTCTTCTCTTTTTCTATAGTCGAGGGTTAGCTTTTCTTTTCCCTTTACCCTCTGCGACACTCTTCTTCTTAGGCATGATAGGGGTCTTTTATTTTTGTCTTCTCCACACCCTTAGAATCCTTGTTTCGAGCCCTATTCTCATCCTTTTGGTTTCGACCAAGTAACCATTGTTTAAATTCCCAAGAAAATGGAGGAGAAATTATGTCAGAAACAACGTTCCACAAAGGTCTAGCGCACCAATAATCGTCAAACCTTTCAACGTTCTTTGATACAAGATATTCATAAGGTCGACAAAGATCACGGCAAGGAACGGTTTGAGCAACACCATATTGCATCATCTCTCTAGAAGTGTAGTAGAAGGTTAACTTTGACAAGCTTGGAAGACGGTAGAAAGGTTGAGTATTGACTCCAATCATCTTCTCAATTTTCCATCAAGGAATGACCCAATTGATGGAAAAGTCGCGAGTTTCAAAGATATAACTCCACTCCTAGCGTCCCATCTATAAGGAGAATCGCTTCTTCCTTCTCACAAGGCAATTAGGAGTGTACTTCTCGATGTTATCAGGAGGACTCATCAGTCCAAGTCTTTCCATTAGCCAAACCTGCTAGAGTGGAAATAAATTATTATTGCTTTACAAAGTTAAATAATTTTTATTTCTGTCATTATAATTATTAATTTTCTACCTATAACAATATTAGTGATCCTCGAAGTGGTGCTTTAGAATCCTTTTTCAATTTATCTTAGCTTAACATTGTTTCTCCAACAATTGATGGCATTGGATTTCTCCCAGCGTCAATTTCTTTCGTAATAGATGCTAATATAGCTTGACCCACATAGATACTACTGCTAGTAAGCAGAAATTTGCTAAACATGCAATAAAGGAAAGCTCTTCTTCTATATATGTGAAACAAATCAGACTTAGGTCTATTGATGAAAAAAGATGTAAATTTTCATAGATCAACTTTGTTTCCATGAAATATAGATTTGGCTGCCCCTGCCCAAGCCCCGGAGCATTTGCCGGCTAGTTCGGGGGTAAAATTAGTTTCCCTAAGATTATAATAACGCTCAAAATCTTTGTAGTAATATTCACACACCGTAGGAATTACTGCAAGGTCTAAAGAGGGAAAACCAAAAATAGCACCAAATTCTTCCGGCAGGGGGCTAATCTCATCATATCCTAGCCTAATTCAATGAGAGTTGGGGTTCCAATATTCTATGACTGCATGAAGAAAATCCCTATTAAGATTTACACCTTTGATGCCTAATAAACCACCCATATTAAGGAAGTCAAGCTCTTTTCTCTCCTTACCAGTCATAGACCGACACCACTCATGGGCAGTTTCACAAAAACACCTAGACATGACTACTAATTTGTGGAAACTAGAGGAGTTTAGAAAGCTAATGACTGGAATTATGCAGAATATGGCGTATTTGGGGGCTTTTTATAAGCAAAATTGGAGTAAAAATCGATTTTTATTCGGAAGTGGATTTTCCAGATCCATCGCGCAGCGATAGAAATATTGCGCCACGATAGACCCATTGCGGCGCGATAAACCTATCGCGCCGCGATGGAATCTGGCGCCTGCGATATGAAAGCGCATCCTGTTTTATCCATTGATTTGATTTTGACTCGGATTTGTACTTTGATTTTTTCGGATTTTATCTAAATCTTTTCACCTTTTCCCACCTTATCCAATTATTTCACCTTTTCCTACAATAATTCAACCTTTTAATTGAATCCTAATTGATTTGGGAATTTCTTTTTTAGAATCTTAAGTTAGTTAAACTTAGTTTTGCCTCAATTTCTTTTTTTTCAGTTTTCTTTTTGGGGGTGAAAGTCTGATACCCTCCAATGATATTAAAAATGACGGAATTTTTGCGCAAATTTTGTAAATAGTTGTAATAACTGTAAAAATCAAAAGAGTACATAAATAATGAATAAGTCTAGTAGATACATGTCTAATAAGAGTCAATAAAATGTACAAAACATAAGTAAAGTCCTAGATAGTCTAAAAGAAAATAGAAGCTACGGCGCCCAAGGAACGCCCGTCGCATCATAAAACTCAGTAGTCCGTGGAGTTAACATCGGGCCAGAATCAGCACCACCGATCGTTGGGATCGTGATCAAAGGACTAGTCCACTAAGTACCCGCGTGAGGCCCAAACTGCTGAAAATTCCCACTAGCAAAGGGAGTAGACACCAGCTGTTGTGACGACGAGCCAACCTCGTACGTCCCACCACCGTGCCGAAATGATGAACCGGCCATTAAAGCGTCAAGGGACTTGTGAGGGCAAATCACCGGAGTGCCGTAACAAGGTGTTCCACCTTAGTTGATGATGAGCTACCATCCTCATCAGTCGCTGCCTGGCCATGTGCCTCTCGCCTGCTCGAGATCCCCAACAAGATACGCTGACGCCTCGCTCCTCCCTCCCTCGAGCCCGCTGGCCTTGAACGAGTGCGTGACCAAGGAATATGAAATGCAAGGCAAGCATGAAAAAAGCAAAAGAAACTAATAACAATGGCATAAAGACATACCGGTACAGCATCCCCCTTACATCGACACAACGCCCGGTTGCTCCATCTCGCCAACTAATAGCGAAAGGCATCCATAACAGCTGCATCCGAGTCACCACCTCGCGAGAGAACTGCAAAATCAGACAAAGTCCGGAAAGCATGAAAGTATATATACCGAATAAAGGGTGAGAACTCACCCATGTATGATGGCGGGAAATGGGTCGCTCCACTAATCGCCACTCCTCCGGGGCTGGAGGAACCATCTCCTCGATAGGTCCATGAATCCTCTGATAGAGGTTGGATATGCGTGGAGGCATAAACTCCGCTTGCTCCTCTAACTCCTGCAAAAGAAATATTTGACGGCTAAACACTGTTGGGGGCCACACAAAAGATGAAATGGCTAGTCAAAATTCACAAACCTCCTCCTCGTGGTAAGGTGGCTGAGCTAGTTAGGAAGTAACGCCTCCGCATAAGGACGGTCGGGGTAGCTATGTCTCCGCCAGCCCTCACCTATAGCTGCATCGACAGCATGAATCCGGAGCCGCTCCTAACTCATCATCTGAGCCGTAGGATTAGCAAAAACCATAGGAACAGCCAGGGAATGCTGGATGGCCACTCTCTCACCCAGGTACCATACCACCTCGTAGGTACCCCAGAAGAAACGCCTCTCAGAAGTATACTGAGAGGCCACCCTAAAATCGTCTAAGTCATCCCGTGGACGATACCGGACCTCAGAATGCTACAACAAAAGGAATAAGTCAGGAACTCGTGATGAAATCCAAAGGAGCAAGAAACAAAGGACAACATCCTTACCTCAAGAATCGCAATCCTGATAGTAACGATAGAAGACTGGCCAGTGCGGCGCTATTGCCATCTGGCAGCAATCGAGAGCCCTCTAGGCTAAGGCCTCGCCATTGCCAGCGAAGGAAAATACTTGTAGAGCCAGACTTATGAAAGGTCGAAAAGTCTAAGAATTGATAAACATCGAAAACGAGATTGAAATCAAAAGAGTAGAAGAAAATGTAGCTCTAAGATC